GAAGTATGGTGTGGCAAAAAGGGAAAGATTAGCTCAGAAAAAAAAATTTTTTTTTGCCGTTTGGTCATAAAGTTGCCTCAAAATTTTACTTAAAATTCGTTTCGCTGAAACCTTAATTGTGTATGAAGTGGAAGCTGAAGACGAATCCAAACGTTCCTTTTTATGCGTTTTTTTTTTTTTTTTTCTGCGTCTATGCAATGCAAAAACGCATACTGCCGAGGGGTTGTTTGTGTATGTATGTATGTGTGTGTGTGTCTGTATGTTCATATGTGCCGATTTTTTATTTCAAGACCTACAAGGCTGAAAGCATGGGAACTTAATCTGCATGCATATGTGGGTCCCCATCTCCAAATTGGGCACTCCTGCTTACGTGGTTCCCACGCGCGGGTCCGTCAGAGTTTTTGGTGGGTAAGCTGCTAACTTGGGGACTAGAAAAGCTGGAAAGCTGAAATTTTAAAGGAATGTTTCTTGACAGTCCTGGTGACCAGTCCGAATTCTTTTAGCTGAAAGCATCAGCTGGGAAAAACTGCGCCGTTAGCACCAAAAACTTGCGCGGAACTGTGCAAAAAACATGTCTTCATGTCGGTGGTCTGGCCAGTTGTTTTTTTTTTTTTTTTTACTGCAGCGTTCAGAGCGTGTTTTTAAACGAAATGTTCTTTTGTCTGTGTTTCCTGACTAGGAATCCCTAGATAGCAATTTTATTGTGGAATTAAAAATCCCGGGTAATGTATAGGTTTGCTTATGCTCGTATTGTAAGGAAATATTTTTAGGAAAAAGATTTACTCATGGATGATCGAAAGAAAAATGAAACACATATTGACTTACAGAATGGTCTGTACAAAAAAAATGGAAAATTTATTATGGTATGTTTAGTCATGACCTTTTTTTGCATGTTTCCACGTTAAATTTGGTTAAATATACAAGTTTTAGTTATTCCCTAACAGACCTTCAAGCACTTACTGACTGGCCTGAAGCGAGTTTTGCCCACGGTGCTGTAGCCGAGTCAAAGTTGAAACCCCAAGGCCTACGGCTTCCAGAGTAGGCCATAGTTTAATGTTTGGTGCGATGCTGGTGTCGAAAGAGAGATTCCGCATTACTCAATTTTTCGCCTGAAGTTTTTCGGAAATTTTGAAACTGGAAATCAATAATTTTGTTACGTTGAGCGCGACTCTTCGAACGATTATTATGCCCATAAAATTTAGCACAGGAAAACTTTATGGTCTTACTGATTTTTTAGAACGAAGCAGCAGACTTTTACAGCCTCTAAGCTTAATGTCGTAAATGCATTGGTTTTGAGAAAAATACAATCTTAGCACTTCACTCTGCTTTTTTTAGTTGACTGCCATGGTACTTGTCTATCAATTTCTAAACCATTTCCAAATCAAAATTTGCTTTGTTTAGAAGCTTTCACTGATTTTGGCTTGGTATATTCCTTTTTGTTCTAGAAGAATCCGTTTGTGGAACGATGGGGGAAGAAAGATGATTATGCATCACCAAAACATGAGCAGAATAGTAGCCACGTTAATTTCAAGTCCAGTGTTGATGCTGCTGGAGAAAAATACACGGTATTTCAGTACTTTGTTCAACTATTCCTTTCATATTGCTCGCGTCCTGCTTGCTTTGTCTGTTTGTTATCTCCCATTTTTCTTACCACGTAATCGGCTCAGTTTTTCTTCCTGGCGTACTTCATTCACACGAGATGGAACTCTTAGCATTTTATTGGAGAAGTGCTGGGGCTTGTTGGCACTTACCATGCTTCGTTTCTTGGAACGTTGAGTCACCGGTAGCTTTTCCTCCCCAGCAAGCATAGTCTTCCACACAGCCAAACTGGTAACGGTAGAATTAAAACTGCCATTTTCATGTTTAATGTTTTGTTAGTGCTGGAAAAGATGTGCATGATATCTGGCGAAATTGTTTATGGTTCACAGTGCTTTTTGGGAAAGTGTCCAAAAAAAGGTAATGAGGTGACAGGTAATGCAAAACACTGCCTAGAAATAAACAGCGGTGTTTATTGGTGGGCTAGGAAGGTTGTGTGTTTTTGTCGCAAATACCGAGATCAGAGTGGAAGCAGTACGCGTAAGTAATCCTTCATCATGGTAATCTTTTAGCACCAAAATCTCTGGAAATCGGGCAGGGAATGGGTAATAACTGGGAATATTTAGCTCAGAATGGTAGGGCTTGTTTTGCGTACGGTAGCACCTCAATAATGTCGTATTTCCATACCCAATTGTACGAAGCGGTCTTACTGTTCTTGATATTGCTACAAATTTTAACTGTTATATTCCTCTGAGCATCGCGTCTTATAATTGCAGCCAGAAAAAACAATGCCAAGAGCAGCAGATTCACATGTGTCGAATCACTATGCGCCTCTTGAGGAGGAATTTATCACTGAGACGGCTCTACTGGGAACTTCTGCAG